GAGAGGGTGAGAAACGCGACAGTCAAGTGGAGCGTGCGTCTGTCCTCTCAGCAAGTAAGTGAGACCGTAGACAGCGGTGGGGAGGGCTGTGCGAAAGCAAAAACACATAAATATGCCTGACACCCGTAAACGAAGCAGCATCTGGCTGCAGTTTAAAGACTTTTTTTGTCTCATCTTGGTCTCGATACCCTCTGGTCTTGGTCTTATCTTGGTCTCGGATTAGGCGGTCTTGACTACAAGTCTATGAAGATGTAAGAAAACAAATGATAAAAATAAACGGTACTTTATTTGTATTCGGTATCAGACGCATGGTTAGCATGTAATTCAACAAGCATCAAACAGACATCAGCTCTATTTCTAGCGCTTACATAAGGATGTGTTTTAGGTTTTATTTTCAAATGCACCATCATTGTTCAGTCCTGCCAGATATGTGACAGATCTATCGCAGCCTGTCTTACTCAGCAGTTCTGTCCAGTAGGAGAGCGGCAAGAACCAGGTGGTGTTTATGCATCTGGATCTGGCGAGTCTGAAATCTGTTCAGAGCTTTGCTGAAACCTTCCTGAAGACCGAGCCCAGACTGGACATCCTCATTAACAATGCAGGTGGGAATGTTGCCATACAGAGAAATTTCCCTGTCTGTTCTATCGATAGTGACTGAAACTTTGTGTTGCAGGTGTGATGGGCCTGGGATGTACCGAGGAGGGTTTTGGTATGGCGTTTGGTGTGAACCATCTGGGCCACTTCCTGCTCACCAATCTCCTCCTGGAGCGGCTAAAGCAGTGTGGTCCCAGTAGAGTGGTCACAGTGGCTGCACTGCTGCACCACCTTGGAACCATTGACTTCTCTCTGCTTAATTCCCAGAAAGATTTGGTGTCAGGTCAGTCTACCTGGGACAGCTTCCAGGCCTACTGTAACAGCAAACTGTGTAATGTGCTTTTTACCAGGGAGTTGTCCAACAAACTGGAGGGCACCAGTGTCTCCTGCTACTGCCTGCACCCAGGTCAGTGTCTGCTTCCATTTTTGGTGTGAGGCTGTATGTACCACAAGCAAAAGCTACTACAACACTACATGTCCAAATGAGTACCTCTGAGTTAAGATCACCTCTGTTCTTCCCAGGAGTCATCTACACAGAGCTGGGTCGCAGTATGAGCCTGTGGCTGCAGCTTCTCATGATGCCTTTTGCAAAGCTGTTCTTCCTCAGCCTTGAGGGGGGGTCACAGACCACCCTTTACTGTGCTCTACAAGAGGGCATTGAACCCCTCAGTGGACGCTACTTCTCCAATTGTGCGCTGCAACAAGTAGGAGTCAAAGCTCGAGATGATGCCCTGGCAAAGAAGCTGTGGGAAGTGAGTGAGAGGTTATCTGGCTTATCATAAGAGACTCCAGAAAAATTCAAGGACTCTGTGAATACTTTGTAACATAGAGTCGATACCACACCTTTGGTTTTATTATGTGCTATTGCTGGGCTGATGGTATGTCAGGTCTTAAGGTTCTCTGGCATTGTGCTATAATTTCAACATGGGGACCATTTTAGATTCTCAAGTGAATAATATGTTTTTTTAACTGTTGTGTAGAAAGAATATTCTACAGTATGTGTCATGTTGTTTTGTATTAATGAAGTAGATATGTTTTATCATTAAAAGTCATATCTGCGTCTCAGCACTGCAGTGAATTGGGCATTTTGTTTTCACATGACGGTTACATTTTTTTGGACCAGTTAAGCCAGTGGCAACGCCTCGATAAAAGCAACAAAGGAAGAAGGTGACAGTTTGGACAAACTGCTATAGCTTTATGGAGTGGTGCATTTGTTAGCTCGCTTGCCTCGCAGCAAGATGGTTCCCGGCTCAAACTTGACAGTGTGGGGATGAACAAAAGTATTTTACCAGCACAATATAATCTGCAGTATGATCATTGCTTTAACAATGTAACAGATAGCTTTAAGATGGTTATGCATACTGTTATCATATTAATCTTGTATTCCAGATGCAGTTATAACTATTTTATACATATTGCATATCTGTGCTTATTTTGAGTTGATGTTCGGTTCATTAAGGGTCTTAAGCTTCACTGGCGTGACTGTCCAGGTGATTCATGCTGAGGGAAATTAGAACATAGAATGAATTGCAATACATGCTTACAAAACACTTATATCAGGTCGTTTTTATTATCTTTCATATGTTCATATTCTTGTATTGAGTTTTAAGTAGTATCAGTTGGTTAAAACATTTATTCAATTTATATTACATCTATAAATTTTAGTAAACTGTTGACACATTTGACAGTGGCCTCTGTTTGACTGTGAGCGTTAGTAGGTGAGAGGTGACATAGAGTGCCGAGTGAGGTCGTGACATATACACACACACACACATTAGTTAGACTCATTTATAGGTGAGAGGTTAGTCATGTCTGCTTGTAACTGCGAAATTGTCTCTGCAAAAGAGGAACAGTTTCCAGACGAGAACTGGAAGTCAAAGGGTTGACCGGAAATACCGGCCATGAAGATAGAAGACAACGTTCTTTTTAAACTGTGTTAAAAGTCATTGTGGTTTTGATTTGACGTATGTATATATTCTGTCTGATGACGCATGAGGGGGCGTCGTTAAATTCAAACTCTGATGGTATAAAATATCTGTTTATGCTTTGATTAAGTCGAAGATCAATTGCTGTCTGTGTAAGTGATCTTCCCACGCGTGCATTAAAATCATCGTTTGACTTCACCCGGCCGGATCAGTGTGGTTATTCTTCGATCACCTCTTGTACCCCTTCCTCAATATTGAATCCTTAACAACAGCCAGCTGGGTCCTTTCTGCTCGTCCAGTGCCTGTGTGAGTTCTTTTCCAGGTATTCCAGTTTGCTCACACAGTCCCCAGACATGCCTGTTACTTTACTGAAATGGAGACCTGTGTAGCCAGACTCTCACTCAGTGACTCTGAACTGAATAAACAGTTAAAATGCATAAGAATTGGTTCTTTTATAGCATTTTAACCAACATTCACACAAGCACATTTTCTTCTATGTCTACAGTGGGGCAAAAAAGTATTTAGTCAGCCACCGATTGTGCAAGTTCCCCCACCTAAAATGATGACAGAGGTCAGTAATTTGCACCAGAGGTACAC